TTCGTTACTTCTCTGGTCACTCCCTTCCCTCCCTTCCACACGCTATCCCCTCCCCCCCCTCCTCCCTCCCTCTTCCCTTTCTCCATTCCTCCCACCTCCTCAGTAGTCCACACTAGATCCCACGTCCCTGACGCCAGCGGACTCGTGGCACTGTTCGGGGTCGGGTTCACTAGGGAGAGAGGGAGGGAGGGAGGGAGGGGGGGAGGGAGAAGGACATGAGTAGCAATATCTCTACTTGCCTTGAAAGACTGGAGGGTTGACAGGGTCTTTGTGGGTTCTGGCGAGTAGGAAGCCGGGCGGCACACCGGACGTGGGGCGTGACGAGAAGCAGCACAAGGGAACCTCCGTACATACATCTGTCCTCGATACCTGCCAAGGCACTGTCTGCGGAACTGGCCGTTTCTGTTTGTTTTCCCCTTCTGCTCTTTCCTCTTACCTGCTGCCAGCGCTTGTATCGCCTGGATCGTCCGCTCCCTCCCTCCTCCCAGGTTGACCCGTCCTCGATCGGACCCTTCCATCGTTTCAAAAAGCTATCAAATGAAAGACCTCGTTTGAGTGTTTCGAAGAGATTTTCAACTATATAGTAGGAAAAGATGCTGATTCATGGGCCATACTTGGCTCGATTTTTGCGAATTTAACGAACAATACCAGTGCCCTCGGGAAAATGCCCTCCGTGGCCACACCCCTCTTGTCCTATTTCCTCTCGCCTTCACTCCTTGCCCTTACAGTCTTTTTCAGCTTTTTAATCTGAGTAGAATCCTTCCTACTGCCGGTGGTTCCCGCGGGGAAGAAGCCGGAAAGCAGCATGCGGGGAGTCGTGGAAGCATGGTTTTCGGAGGTAGAGTGGGAAAGAGGCAGGAAAGTGGAGAAGGCATACCCGCTTGCCTGACAAAAGTCACATGAAAGAAATAAGGATGAGCAAAGGAACCGAGTAGGATGGTCTTGTGAGTGGAGTTGGTCAGGTCAAACCAATTTACGACGTCTTTCAGAGTCACGACGTCGGTGGGGTAGAGGTCGAGAGAGCAAGGACAAGACCCATTTTCGGGCTGGCACGCGTACGCAGGAGAAAAAAGTATAGAATTCACCGCGAAAAAGCTATGAAACATGAATCTCCACCCCTACGCACCGTAGCGGTAAGTATACAGACGATAAACAAGAACTGCGCCAGTATTGTCGTCCGACTAGACCTACAACCTCCTCTCCCCCTTTGCAGAACATTTTTTTTCCCCCTTTGCCCGCTTAAGCATTCCCTTTGCATGTGTGGCAGCTTGGCGGCGTGATCCTGTGTAGCAGCCAATTTTTGAGCGAAAATATGGTTGGCTGGGACGCATATACGTGCTTAAATTCCTCAGGCACTGAGGTAATCGCTGGATAATGATGGCCGTTGCCTGCCCGGTCGAGTGGGAAAAAAAAGCTTTTTTTTTTTCTTACTTATTTTCCTTACTTCTTCTTTTCATGTCTTGTCAGACAGACAACTGAGTAATGTTTTTTTTCCTTGTGTCAAACCCGTCTGCAGCAGATAAATTTCTAGAGTTCATCGCACGCTTACTTCCTGATTAAGCGGCCTCCCTATGCTTGGTTTTTCGGCTTTATGTTCCTCTATATCAGAAACAGTGGATGCTTCTACGAGAGGACTGGGATAGTCAACATAGAGTTTGGGCGACGATAGAGCAAACAATGGGGACTCATGTCAGGAGTATACAAAGGGCAGTATTTTCCCATCACCCCTTACCCTCTTTCACAAGCGTAGTCCTTGTTGAAAGGATCAAGAATCACGGCCTCGGAACCAAGCGCACGCAGCACGACGTTGTAGATCAGATATGCGTCAAGCCGATGTAGAGAGACGCAAAGCTGATGGAGTGACGGCATGCCCTTCCGCGAGGCTTGATCCCACCGACCTACCCGCTGGTCATTTTGCAAGGTAAATGGTGTACTGGCTGCTCATTATATGCACGCCAGAAAAGTAGCCCACATGAATATGCGAAAAAAAGCCAAATTTATCGTTCAAAAAGGTAGATGACGCTGATAAGTCCTTTACATTTTTTAGTCTTTATGTCTAACTATATCGCACCTCAACCAACTGTTGACCCCAGTTATATCAAAACATACGTCGAAAGACTCGTAACATCACACGTGGCATGCTCACTCATGTTCACAAGTCTTGGCCACCTTATCCGACGTACTATGCATATAAATATATGTATGTGTATATATATATATATATATATAT